TTTTGTTGGTTTATGTCTAAACATGTTACCAGTGGTCAGACTCAACATAATTCCACTATAGAAGGTTTTTTCCGACAAAACATACATCAAGTAATTCACCACTGTGACTTTGTGTAGTAATTTATTGTAATCGTAGTATTAGTATATCGAGATGACCGAATTACAAGAATCCAAACAAAACACAGAGAGGGGAGACTTCAGGAATTTGTATTTAGCGGAATTATAATGCAATTCATATAAGAAATATTAACAATCAACAGTAAGTATTTAAACAATACAGAGATAGAAATTGTCAATCACCACATCCGCCACACGTCGAATATCTCCTTGCGTATTTATAACGATGTCTCGGTTTGCTTGCAAGTAGCTGCGACCTTCTAACTGATTCTGTGATATTATCTTCATCACTGTTATCTGGACTTATTTCTGAATTATCTACAAAATCAGGATTATTAGCGGAATCATTAAAATAATAATTGGAACGACCTACTTCATTTATTGTCACTTTGTCCAGGTGTCCATTATGAACTGAGTGATCTTTGATGTCTAATATCTTCACCACTCGATTTCCCATTTTTTGTAGTATAATTCCAACAGAAGGTCTATAGTTATTACCTTTGTAATAATGTACATTAGAAGTCGTGGACATCAGATGCTTTTTGAGAATTCGAGATTTGAAAAGTTTTGCAGGACTTTCACGGGTACTTGTATGCTCTGCATTCAACAGACGCAGTCTATGCATATGCAGCAATTCCTCCATTTTAATCAGTTGCTCTCTCATCTCATTCAGTTCTTCTCGTGTTTTCGACAGTTCGCATTGTAACTCGGCTACCACATTTTTGAAAACAGTTGACGCTTGAGTTGCTGAACTTGTAGTGGAGGTTTTCATTGGATGAGATTGAGTATTTTGAAAAGTTGAAAGACACATTGACTCCATTTTACTAGACAGATTGGGAGAATTATAAGAATTCTGAGTAACATAAGTATTCGAACTTCTGCAAACAGTCTTGATGTGTCCAACTTTACCACATTTGTGACACTTAGCACCCCGAAAACGGCAAGTGCTTCGTAGATGTAACTTTCCACAGGAAAAACACGGTTTAATGTTTTTGATCTCTCGCTGCATTCTATTACCTGTGGACGACAGTTTGGATTGCTTTCCATGACCACTTGTATTTTCGACTTTGGACAGCATGACATCAGATACTGACGTAGTGGGAGCAGAGTATTCACTGTTGACATCTTCATATGTAATACATAAATCTTTAGCAGTTTGAAAGGTACAAGAAGGAATCTGAATTAACTCTTTCTCTAACTTAGGAATATTGATTCCAGCAATTAGACGATCACGTAGTTGAGTATGCAGCTGATCTCCAAAGTTACACTTTGAAGCTTGTATTTGGAGTTGAAGAATAAAGTCTCTAGTCTTCTGGTTGGGAGCACGAACCAGTTTATTGAATTGAGTCCTCTCTGGTCTCAAAAGTAGTTACATGAAAGTGATTTATCAGAAGTTCACGAATCTTGTCATATGACAGAGAAATAGGTTTATCTGGAAACGCCAGAGTCTTTACTAGGCTATTTGCATCTAGCCCAATAGCAGTAATGAAATGTGCTGGAATTTTGTCATCCCGAACGTTCTTTGAAATGCACCATGCATCGAAGCATTCAAGGTAATCAGCAATCTCCCGCGGAGAACCATTTATTGGAAATTTTCCAAGGTTATTTAGTTCCATCGCGACGCCAATTTGTAGTAATTTATTGTAATCGTAGTATTAGTATTTCGAGATGACCGAATTACAAGAATCCAAACAAAACACAGAGAGGGGAGACTTCAGGAATTTGTATTTAGCGGAATTATAATGCAATTCATATAAGAAATATTAACAATCAACAGTAAGTATTTAAACAATACAGAGATAGAAATAGTCAATCACCACACTTTGTTAAGTTTTGTCCTGCATGACCATTACCTTTATGTTGCGAATGAAGCGCATACTCCAGTTTCTATTCAAGAGGTGTTCTGAAATCCTGTTTAAGTAAAATCCATCAAAACAGGTCATGGGTTCGTTCTTTGGTGGGACCATGGATGCGTAATGATGAAGAGTGCCAGGAAAAGACAAAACAACTCTTCTGCACCGTCTGGTTTCCAGCAATTCTGAAGTCAATTTATTTACTATCTTGAAATCAGTCAAAACACGAGAGTAACATGGACCACTAACAGATGTTAATATATATACAAGTATGTGCTTCTTCGCATTATTTTCAACCTCAAAAGATCCATAATTGTTGTAGACAGTATTTTAAAATGTTTTCTTAGGTTATGTGGTTTAATGGTGCATAAACTCTCACAGTCTTGAGTTCGAAAATATTTCAAGGCTAAGTGATTGTCGCCGCTGAAAAGCATCAAAATTATGCCCCTTTCTGTCTGGTGATTTCTCTGTCATTCAAATTAGTGGCACTTTGGGTAATAATTATAACTCGTTGTAAAACATTAGGAAATTTATATTGTGAAAATTAGTCGCTGCCAACTTCGTGTAGCGTATCACAAAAACAAAATATCATTGAAATTTATCGTGATTTTTGAAAAAATAGCAACATAAGCATTTGTGCAGGTTATTTGGGTGTAAGTATATATATATATTCAAGGATTTTATATGTAGAGAATGTATCATTTCAGAACAGTTAACTGATATCATTCATTTATCTGATGTTTAACTGCTCCTTAGGAGAAATGCATTTTGCTTCTTATTTCTAAGTCACCCAGAAATTTAACAGCTAAACGTGATTACTTCACTCCAGTTTGTGTAGCTTTCATTTGTTGATATATATATATATATTGTCAAGTGTTGGTTTGCAGGGATTTGATTGGCTACATGATCGATCACTAGCTGACATCAGTTAGAGGAATATTGGAAAACCTGGGAGTACTGGATAACTGTTTCATCCTCATTTTGGGACTCTTCACCAGGACCCACTCACCGGGGTTCAAACCCAGGATCTTCCGGTTACGGCGCGAGTTCGTAGACTATTCAGCCACTGGGACACGACCTATTGGTCCATAAATTCCAGCTTCAACTAATCTGATATATATATATACATATATTTCTTTCCTTCACATTCCCCAGTGGAACATGGGGCTTCAAGTTAGTGGCTTGAAGTTTCTGTAGCAGTATTTATTTTTACAGGATGGCGTTGCCGGCCTCATGCCCAAGGAGTGAGTCGGCAGGGGATCGAACCCGGGCCATGTGCTTGGTCAGAGAGCGTCCTAACCGCTAAGTCACCGACGCATATATATATATATATATATATATATATATATATATATACAATTTAATGTAGACGAAATTAAACCTTATATGAACACTTATTTCATTCAGGTCAAGCATTATGAATTAACGTCTCCAACTGCTTTAATTTTAAAGTGGGTAGATGAAGATGAGTTTAGAGTAGAGAACAAAGCAAACTAGCATCGATAATTAGTTTCATCTACTTGCTTTTTAGATTTTGATGAGTAGAATAGGAAGCTCTTTAAATGGTTATATTAGTGTCGTTTAACTACTTTTCAATAAAGGTATTTGGGACTATTGTATTCAGGATAGGGTTCATTGACATTTGGCAAACCATCAAGTCAATAACCTCTCCCCTCTTAAATTAATGTTGAATTATTTGCTGTTTAAAAGATGCTAAAGGGAGTTCAAAGAGGAATTTTCTTCTTTAGAGTAAGACTTCAACCATCTATTTTCTGTCTTGATAAATTAAAACAAATTGGCAGGATTCGATAATGGGATTGAAATGCATTTTAACACATGCATTGTAGATGTTTATTCTACACTTTTATTTTCCAACAGATATTAAGAAACCTTCGATACTGAATTCTCACTCATGCATCATACCATAAATTTTTTACCATTAGGTAATTCAAATGAAAAAAAAACGAATGGCTGACATAAAGCAGGACAGTACTGTCATAAGCCTGAATAACACAGTGGTAACGTCTATGACAGTGGATGATGTAGATTCGAGTCTCTAGGAGGAAATTACCACCTTCAGTGTTTCAGATAGGCTATGCTAACGAATGCCTGAAACCTAGGTCGAGGGTTTTTACTGACTGTCTTCAACAACCTTACACCAATTCAAAGTGCACCACTATGGCGAGTTAACTAGCTTGACGATCGCACCACAAACATGACTGGCAGAATTCGGTCAACACCGACGCTATAAACGACTAGATTACACCCCAGTGACGAAATAACTTAAATTAGATATATTTTGATTGATATGATATATAGTGCAGCATTGCTTCACACTCTGTTGACGTCATTTATGGTATCGGGCAGATAACATATTATGATCTAAATAATCTAGGCTCCTTTAAAAAAAGCTTTTGAACTATATCCTGTACCGAATAAATGATTACTTTCAGAGTATAGCAACCCAGTCAAGTGGCTATCTATAATTGACATGACAGATGGATTTAACTCATTGAAACGAATTAGTCCAAGGACATATTGATGGTCTCTCCTCCAAAGGAGAGAAGCTGTCCTACAGGGATTGGTCATTCTGATCTGGTTACGGGCACTGCTGGTCAACATAAGTGGTTTCTAATAATCCAAACGTATTAGAAGTATGTCAGTTGAGTAGTTAGTATTATAAAATACCATAAAAGAAAGAATCAACTGTTTTATATAAATGCTTAAAGAGCATTTTAACCTTTTGGTTCCAAATCTTTACTAAGTTAAGTCCAGGACCTGTTGAAAAAAGCGTGTAAGATATCATTTTATTTTTCGGTACTTAATAAGGAACTGTGTAATTGAAAACTAAAGCTGCGTAATGTTGTTTTGAAATTAAGAACTACCTGTTTCTATGTAGCTAGCAAGGTTTAACATATAATTCATCTTTGAACACATATTGTTCACTTAATCAAATTCAAGTAGTTTTGGATTTAGATATTTTAAAGTGATAACTTTCTATAATTTATTTCACTCCATTTTCATTTATAGTTCTTCGTCCACTGGTCGTGTTTTGAATACCGAAACATCAGCATTAATTCTTAGCAGCTTAAAATCCCAAGAAAAAGAGATAAGAGACAATATTGATGCCCAAGGAAACGCAGTAATTCACTCGGATGGTGACGCCATCTTATATCGTAATCGACCACAAACAGACCCATCACAGAGAATTCATTTGTCAAATAACCTCGTGTCTGCTGAGTCTGCTCGCTCCGTTGCCGTGGCTATACCTCTCAGCGGACAACTTAACTACATAGGCTCTGGAGGGCCTTATCAGATAATTCCAGAAAACCTTCAAACTATAAAGCAACGCAGAAGTGGCTCGGCTGTTGGTCAAGTATTTGTTGCTGGTATAAACCCTCACACAGCTCACTTTCTTTCAGCAATGGGAACTGCAAGCTCTGGAACATATACAATGAATAGTTCCGTTTCCGCTGGGACGCCCACAGGTTCTGGCAGCCCTACAGGGAGTCCACATATGGAAGATAAACCCACAAATGTAATCACCAGCTCAGAGCATCCAGCACATCTTGTTTGGCCAAACAAATTGAACGTACGACCTTTATCTGTATCTAACCTTGCACTTCAGCGACCAGCATCAGCACCACAATCAGGATGGCGTGCTTCATTGCCTAGACATGTCATGCCAAATACATCAAACATCTTAATCGGTCAACCTAATGGTAATTCTTTTTTAATTGGGATTTTATACGCCTAAATATTCTCTACATTCCACTTACAGGTCACTAAGTCTAGCCTGTTATTGATGCATCTAACTATACATGAGAATACACTTCAATAACAATTATTAGAACACCAATGAAGAAAAACTGGAATCTTCTTTGCCCAGCAACATGATGAAGGCCTTGGTTTATGTCAGTTTCACTGAGATCCCATTAAATATTAACAATCAATCTGCAGAAAACCATGACTGATGTAAAATTAGTCCTTGTTGTAGTCTTTCATCAAACAGTGTATGCAGTCTTTCAGACTTTCGGCTGCCCCCCTTACCTCAGCCTGGTCAGTTAGGTGGCTCTTAGCCTGGAGCATAAGAAGTCTGTTCTGTGCAACTGAGTTTTAACGTTGATTATAATCATGTACATATTTTCATATAAAAAACTATACGTAATCACTTTGTAGCCATAAAAGATCACATGTGAACTTTGTTAATCATACTGTAATTTCATTCAACGCTGTTTAGATTGTAAGTTGTATCAGAAGACAAGGGCCAGGCAACAGATCGTTTATTTAGGAAATCAACACGTATTTATATATTTTTTATGTACGTTATTATAGCTTATTCAAGCAGACAAACACAATCTTCTGAGTGGTTGTTTCTTGCTCAAGTTTATTCTGTACTGCTTGTGACTGGTTTTTTCAGAAAGTTAAGCCATATATCTGCGAGTCGTATTTGCCCACGTTAAGTCTGCTGTGATTGGTTGTTGAATCAGTCTTGTTCATATTTTCTCACGACCAATATTAGCGACATAGAAATTGAGGTAAATTAATGTCTACCAACTGGTTAGCAGCCTGCTCTCACCACAGTATCACCTACAGAAGACTACCTTGAATACCCTTGAGATTTTCATGACAATAACTATGTAGATGCATATAGCACCTATAAACCTGACATTTAGTCTGTAGTTTTATGACGTCGTCTGCAAGATTTACATCTAAGACAGTATGACAACTGTGTGAATTCATACAGTAGATTTTGTCACAGGCACACATATGAGTATATAATTTTAAAATTATTAAGATATATCTTCGTTTATTTAGCAGTAAAGATGAGACAGTATGAATTTGATTTAGCCAATTCTCCATAAATGGTCTTAAGTTGATTATTATTGCTATTATTAGAGATATGATTGAAACGATTATAAAATCTTCTATTCTATTACTAATTAAGAAATAAAAACCTGAATATCTGTTTAGCTTACTTATGCACATTTCCCGTACATTATAATCGGTTTATTTTAGTATAATCTGCACATTTGATACATCGCCGCTTATTAAATGACCGAGTGACTCTAAACTGTAGCAGCCCAAAACAAAAACGCCTAGTGAACGGACTAATGGCCTTGAGCAACCAGTCAGATGAGTCCGTGGTAGGTAGGCTAGTATTTAAGTACTGTTTAGACGATAGACTCATTGCAGGGGAGGAAACGTGTAGCCAACTGTCATCCCTGGGCTATATTCATAACATGGTCAATAATACGGACGACTTCGTTAATCCCTTCGATGGGACCCATACAAATTCCATCGAAAGTTCCTTGAGTCACCCAGAAAAGAGGATCAGAGATGTAAATGAATCAAGAAATACGATGATTTACAGTTATCTCAATGAATTTACGTACAGAAATTTGTTTAAATAAAGTATAATTATATTTTAATAGTTTACACACAATGATAAGTTTTGTTATTGGTAATATTTCGAACAAAATTACTGCCCGTGTTCACACCACTGTTGGAATTGTTTTATTCACCAATAACAAAACTTAACATTGTGTGTAAACTATTAAAATATAATTATACTTTATTCGATCTAATCCACAATGCTCAAACTTTTTACTGAAATTGGTTTAACCTAACTATGAGGACCCGTATGAAAAGATGGGAGGTCTTCTTGGAATATACACAAGGAAGTTATTCTATGCAACTCCTTTTTCATGTCCCACTACTTATATATAAACGTCTTTGTCAAAATACTAACTTCTACTTCGGGCGCGTCTGATTGGTCGATAGAGATTTGCAAAGGTCTTTATTAGGCAGCTTCTTTTTGGGTTACTATAGTTTAGAGTCACCCACTTGGTAAATGTCTGTTTCCACGCATTTTCCTTTCAACTAATATAAAATATACTATTATCTTTTTTGTAAATAGAAAATGGTAAACAATAAGTCGTAAAAGTTGATTTTTGTTTAACAAATTTTTAAAATATGAAATATTCTTTACTACAGTAACACCTTCTGGTCCAATGAATGTTACTCTAATTGGCACCGATTCATATCCATCTATGCATGCTTCTCTTCTACTAACATCGAAACCACAATATGGACAAAATCATCAAACAAATCAAACTCAGGTGAATAATTTACAGGGTGTTACAACAACCAACATGATAATGGCTAGTAATCCAATTTTGTCTTCCAGTATAAACCCGGTCAGAGCTATTTGTATGCCAATACAACATCAGTCAGTTCAACTGGCACAAATCACTTCTGATGGTAATAAAGCTGTACATTCACAAATAAAATTACCTCCTGGTTGTGCAATTCTCACCGGATCTGGTCAAACTTCAAATATTGGTGGTCGTATTATATATGTAGATAGAGCAACTGGACAAGTTAGTACCCATAACATTTTCTTTTGATTCCTCGAAGTTTTTTTGATTTCATTATATGGAGGATTACATCACGAGCTGACATCAGTTAGAGAACCACTGGAAACCTGAGAGTACTGGACAGCTGCTTCGTCAGCCTAGTTTGCGACTCTTCATCAGTACACACCCACACCACGGGCTTCGGACCCAGGAACTTCTGGTTACAAGACGAGCTCGTAGACCATTGAGCCGCTGGGACCCGATCCAATCGTTCTTGAGTTCTAACTTTTGCCAATTCACGACATAGCGTGACCATTTCGCAATGTCTTCTCCGATGAGTTGCTGCTGCTGAAGTTCAGAACAGACTTTAAGCTTGAATAAAGCAAAAACAACAGTTTGCACAGAATGATATAGTACCATGTTTTATTTCGTTGAATTCTCACCATCTGTTTACAGCCCAACGAAATTATTAAGTTTATATACAGAAAGGTTCTAGCAAACCTGCGAATTTCACTTGATGTCAGTTGACAGGTGGTTCTGGACTTAGTGAACAGTGCTCAGAGAATAACGCTTATGTGGTTTTCGCACAGGCAGTTCAAGTTTAAACAATGTAAATGTATGCACAGAAGTGTATACGAGTTACGAAATACAGATGAGAGATGCGTGAGGTAATGAGTAACTAATAAAATGGGTAATAGTGTACTGAGTTCAACTCAAATCATAGAAACAAAGGGGTGAGGTTAAAGCCAAAGATTATGTGATCGAATGAAAGAAAGAATAAATACACCCAGTTACCATGGGAAGGAAAGACTGATAACTGCTAATATCAGCGTTTGATAGACAATCCTTCTGCAAACTTGAGGAGACTTGAACTATTTTTTCTATCGATAATTTTAAAAAGGATTTTGCGATTTCCACCTGATGACATGGAGGAGATCGTGTGGCGAAGAGCAGATGAGAGATTATGGGCAATCATGGTCCCAGCTGAAGAGGAGAGCAGAAAATAAAAGAAAGTGGAGATTTTATTGAATTTGAGATTTCCCCGTCGATTGATTAAACCGAATGGCTCGGTCCCAGGTTGAAATGTCGGCTTATTGTGCTGGGTAGTGGGTTCGAGCCTCGGTGAGAACATCATCACTCACTCAGAAATGCAGGTACATCCAGACGACAAGTCCCAAATAGGACGAAATGCGCATCCTGGATTCCACTGCTAGTCACCATCCACCAAATAAAGTGGAGATTTGTTTCTGAAGCCCTGTGTTCCGCTCGGAACCCAAGAGAATAATATTAAATAATACACAAAGAAAGGTATTTAGAATTTGAATTTGTAAGGATTCATTTGGTTCTTAAATAAGACTTGATTACGAAATGAAATCATCTGAAGAACTACTGAAATTAACAAAGTAGTGAACAGCTGTTTCATCTTAGTCTGAAACTCTTCTGCAGTTCACACTAATGACCCCACAAGATGTCGCACCTTAGCATAGATTATAGTGATGCCAGTTGGCTATGTTTGAATCACTGGATCCTCAGGTTCCAATCCAATAGTGGGTACCGAGATGCCATGAAGCAGCTGTGCTTCTTGTTTTTCAATATTCCAGTAACTAATATTTCTTAAGACACTGTGTCGTATATTAAATTACAGTGTCAGAAAGTTTGAATGTTAATCACACGAAAACCAAGCTAGCACCCACAGGAGTGTAAATTTAAATGAACTGATCAACCAAATGTGTAAATTCCTTGTATTGAACAAGAATCTAATTTTTAACACAGCAAAAAATGCCAACAATGATCTCACTAACCTAGTTATCAAGAAATCGACTTCCATACTGAATGTTGTAAGTCCAAAAATCTCTGTGAACACTATTTCCCTCAAAGTTAATCATCTATCAGTCTAAAAAGTGTCCACGAACATTTCACCTAGGTCAGGAAAGGGTTTCTGCCAATGAAATAACACTCAGTAATAAGAAGTAACTGCAATCGATACATAATTTTGCTGTTATTACACATCCTCCTAAGATAATGTTTATTCATATGGAATAACCGCTAGCATAGAAAGATGGATATTTAAACAAAAACCGATCAGAAGATGTTCACCCTGAACATAAACGAACAACTTGAAATCATTCACTGAAAGCGAAAACAAAATTTTCCTGCCACATACGAAGAACAATTCTCAAATTACTGTAAGATTATAGAAACCTTTAGGAATAGATGTTGCCTACAAACCAACTAAAATGACTTCGATTTTTATCATGTCAGCCAAGAGACCCAATGTAAAACAAAATCGAAACCAACTTAATCTGCAAATTAAGTTGCAGAAAACATTATATTGGTCAAAATGAACATTTCCTATGTCTTTGCAAGCCTAGTTGGTTCTACTCAACTTTCCATGTATTTCATAATGCAACTATGAAATTTCCGTGTCGTATACAACTTGCGCTAATTGACTAGCACTATTCCTTTGGAGTATAATTTTTCAAAAGAGAAATGGAAGCAGATAATTTGTCTAAACACGGAAAAAATTAATACCGACTTCTATTTTACAAAAAATCAAAATTCTATTATATTTACTATAGAATATTGACAAGGAAATAGGTTGTTTGGTAATTAAATGCATGTGGTCAGTGATATTTTTTACAGTTTGATTTATGATTTACCATGAGAATTATATAATATGTTTACTGGTGTATATCCTACACGCTGTATAGTCCCTTGTATGACTTTGTGAACTGATGTCCACTGAAAGACTAGTAAGTTATTGATGCAAGGAACACAAAATAGGAATAATAAGGATTAATACAAAACATTTGTTCGTTGACGTCGCTTAGAGAACCATTGGAAAACCTAATGGTCCTAGATATCTGTTTCATTGGCCTAGCCTGGGGATCTTCAGCAGTAGGCACTCACCACCATGGTTTAAACCCAGGAAGTTCTGACTGCAAGGTCAGAGAACTTGTAGACCATTAAGCCACTGGGACCCGATCCAATGGCCAGACGACGAATTCCAACTTCTGCCAATCCACGATGTGGCGCGACCAATAGTGAATGTCATCTTTGAAATAATAAAGATTTGTAGCTCAGCTGGATTATTTGCAATCAGTTGTGTTTTCTGAGCTGGTTGTTTTGATCACTGAGCTCCCATCGTCCTTCTGGGCAACACTTTCATCCACGGAGAATTTAAATCAGTTCATTTTATGCTAAAACTTGCGCTAAAGATGTTGTCCAGAAGGATGACAATAGCTCCGTAAATAAACCAACCAGCTTAGAGAACGCAACTAATTTCGAATGTCAACCTAGGAGAGTATTTGTCCTCACACCTAACCTGCTGTACACAACTGGTTACGACTTCCCCAAGAACTCAGGCAAGCACCTACCCGAATAGGGCCAGTCACTAGTGAGTATCAGATTGATATTCAAGTATTGGTTTCAGGGTTTCATCATGAACCAACATCAGTTAAAAACCGTTGGAAAACCAACAATGAGTACTGGACAGCTGTTTCGCCCTAGTTTGGGACTCTTCATCATTACCTACCCACTTCATGATGAAATCTTCAAACTAATCAAATCCCTGCAAACACCAATTGAACATGTGTATTTGCTTTTAAAAAAATGTGCATCACAAAATACGAAGCGCTTACAATTGATGGGTATAGAAAAGTGAATGTGAGTTGTTTTTTTTTGAAGTAATAAGGAGGTTCAATCAATAATAGTTTATTATCTCTTTATTGCATTTTGAATAAATATCTGTGCTGTGACAGGTTGATCCTAAAATCCAACAGCTCTGTATTTGAGTCCAACTGTATCGTTGAAATGCATTTCTAAAGGCTTCTGAACTAGAGTAAAACTCTTTTCGTTTCACTAGTTAATTTAACTGATACTGATTCGTGAAGAAAATATGCAGTAGAAAGCACTTAACGACGAATATATTCCACATGTTCAGTCTAACTTCATTAGGTTACATCCTGATACAGTTATATATATATAAATATATACAAACATTACTGTATTATTATTTTCTTGGGTTCTGACTGTAACATAGAGCTTCAATAACACATCTTCATCTTGTCCTGTCCTTTAGAGTTCTCTTCTATTGGCCCCATGATTGACCATAAACTCCCATCTTATCTTCACACAATCTCCTCCATGTCAACCTTGGACAGCTGACTCGTCGTTCTTCATTTGTGTTGCAAACTGACTTGAGAGTGATAAAGGTTTGCCTTACCTTTCTGATTCTGGTTTAGACATCCCATCCATGCCGTCACGTATAGTTGAAACGATGCTGCCTGGTCAGATAAGTGAAGGAAGCAACCTTTTCCCAATTTATTCTGTTTTTAGTGATTGGTGCTTATTGTTGTTGATTGGTTGGCTGTCTTCATCGCCTCTATCTTCTATGTGTTCACTTGAATTCCTGTCTTCACTGCTTGCTTCTTCTGCCAACTTTTTGATTTTCACCTGTAAGTCTTCGTGCTCATGTGGCAATAGACATAAATCATCCACGAAGTCCAGATCTTCTAGAGTCTTCTAATCGGTCAGTGCAGTGAATTCCTGTCTTCTCTCTCCACACGGACGGTGTATCACATAATCCAGTCCACCACAAATTGGAATATCATCGGTGACAGGAATGAGCAGCCATGTCTTACTCCTGTATTCACTTCGAAGGCTTCTCTGAGTTTTCCGTTGTGAATCAACCGACACGCAGCATTATCATATAGCTGTCGAATGAGCTTGATAAAAATTTGGGCACTGCAAGTCATAGTGTTGAAGTAGTTTTCAAATTACTTCTGGGTCAACTCTATCAAGGGCCTTTCCAAAGTCCATGGAATTGAGGTAGGAAGTTGACTGCCGTTCTATGCTTTGTTCGATGATGATTATGCGTAGAGTTGTAATTTGGTCAGCACATGATTTGCCTTTCATGAATCCAGCTTGTTTCTGTTGGAGTTCTGCATCCAATGCATTTTTTAGTCTCTTCAGAATGATGAGACTTCACTTGGCGTGAACAAGAGCATTGTTTCGCACCAGTTCTTGCATAGGCCTAAGTTGCCCTTCTTTGTTAGTTTTATAAGGTAGCTTTTCTTCCAGTCAGCAGGTAGCTTTGCTTCCCTGTCAAACGTTTTGCAATAATTCCATCACCATATCTGCTGCAATCTCTTGATGCATTCACAGTGCTTCAATAGGAATTCCGTCCGGTATTTATATAGACAGGTGGAGTTAATAAGTAGTCACCAACTAAATTTCTCAGTTCTAATATAAGAACCTAAGTTTTCTCTTTGATTGCAGTCATTATTTTACTCGCTTAATGCAGGGTCTATGAAACTATAGCCATTTTAGCTAATCTCAAAAACAACTAATCATGCCTTATTATACTATTTTGCTTTAATTTGTCCAAAAACCGCTGAGCCTATTTCGTTCATAATATTTCTCATCGGCGACTGTAGGACGAATAATTACCTTATGAATTATTAAACATGATAATTACTACTGAAACTACAAACTTTACGATATTCCATCATGTCTTATCAGGGAGCTAAGGTCAATGGTTAAACAATTTAGCTAGTTATGATTAAGCTACCAGTCAACATACAGACTGCCATTATATACTGAATGTAAGAATATGTGAATTTAAACAATTTTAAAAATTATAATTTTGACAGTATTTGCAACGCTTAGCTTATTTCATTGTTCAACTTACCTTTTAGTCTTATATCCCAGTACTTACAAACACCTCAGGGGATTTAAATCAGGTAATAATAGATGGTAATGTGCCTTTGACAATCAGACAATCACAATTATCCCATGGGGCTACTACGTCTATGGTGGTGAATCAGCAACAACAGCAACAACAACAATCAGTATCCACTTGTACTACCAATAATTTGGAGATATTCAGTCAGCCTGGTCAACAGCATACTGCACAGACTACTAGTGTTCAAAGTAATACAAGTTCTGTTCCTCCTGATGTGACCAGAAATGCCCGTAGTCTTGGTCGGAGGCTTGGACCTCCTCCACCGGCTCCAGAAGTAAGTAATTTCCGGATTAGCTACAATTACTTTATCAACAAGCATAAATCCATGATATTGTATAACACTAGTTGATTGATATGAGTAGCTGAATACCACTCGCATCAGCCAGTAGCGCTTGGTAGCCAGAATGAAATGATGTAAGCATCGGACGACCGTTTCGTTCGTTTGCGGCCGAGCTTATCAGCTCAGACAGACAGCCGTATCAGTTCAAACCAGAGAGGAAATGTCAGCATTATACATTCATTTAGTAGGGATCGAAATAAGTAAAATGGCTGCAAAACTTTCCTCTGAGTATACAAATTTGTCTTCTTCAGGTGGATTGCGATGGCGTCAGTTGTGGGTAGAAGATGACATTCGTAAAGCAAAATTAGTATTAGCCGGATTCCGATAGATTTAGTTTATTAGCATCTAAAGCACAGCTAATAACAGATCTTATTTGTCCGCTGCGTAACCATACAGGATGATGTTCGGAAATCTGATCGCGAACATGTCTAATTATATACCCAATGTAGCTCGTCCCATAGGGACAGTCAAACCTGTACATGCATACAGAGGACACGGAATTAGCTAGATTATTCTTATTTCTTGGATGCAAAATTTTAGTAGTTGTCGAGAGATAGTGTACCTCTGCTGCATAAACTGTCCTTTTAACTGCATTATTTGGCTTTTTTCTAATCATTTCACTGATGAAGCCATCGGAATACACCTAAAGAAGCTGAACCTGGATATTCATCAAAAGGAATTCGTACGACCACTTTCCTCACCTCAGCCATAATTAAATCACTTATCAGTCTTCTTCTTAGTGTCTAAATGGGGATATATATAAGTATTAATTTAATGACAGAAAGATATTTTTCCTTTAAAATATATCGATTTAAAAATTTAGTCCTGGATTGAAATTTATCAACGCGAACATACATATGACTGCATGAAAACAGGAAATCAAAATAAATTATTATTATCACTTGACAACTTATTGATAATAAATATACACATATATTTAATTCCCTCTAATTTAATTATTCAAAGCATACAATTCAGTAGATACACAATAATAGACAATGACATTGTAAATCTGTATTCTGTTTGTCAAATGAATACAATTCCACTTTAAAACAAGCATATTAATTTTCCATCTTGAACAGGTGGTTAATTCAGACAATATGTGTTACAGAATATATACATGTATATGTATAAATATCATATTCTCTTGAATACATTTCCTAAATACTGTCATAAATAAATTTTATTTTTGTTTCATTTTATAGGACTTTGAAGTATTTCATTTATGTAAAGCCATAAGAAGACGTAATTTGTCTGAATCGTGTAATGCATTTGCGCGCACAACACATTTCGAACAATCTGATCACACACGGACTTATCATAGGAGAATATATATATATGAAGTTAATAAAGAGTTAAGAGGTGAGAAAACTGCTTAGGTCAAGTCAAAAGGACATATTGAAGGTCGAAATAACAATCAAGACCACTAAACCAAATAGCAGAGGTAATAGTACATTTGCTATAGTATCAAAACAAATTTAATGTGATGACGAATTGTTTTTGAACGCATAAAAGTGGTTTAAACTTTCTAATTGCCAGCTAGGGCTTCCACAAAGTTTAGGATACGCCCCAAACACGTTTTTTGGATAGGTTTAAAAGATCTGTTAACGTCAATTTTATGTCCTGTCTCTATAATATGTTTTGCGATAGAGGAGCTAGGTCTCCTGTTCTCACCATTAATAGCTTCTGAAGATTCCATTTGTCTCTGGAACCATTTAGGAATGTGCTATGATAGCAGATGTACTATTACCTCTGGTATTTGGTTTAGTGGTCTTCATTGTTATTTCGACCTTCAATATGTCCTTTTAATTTGACCTGAGGTCTATTTTCTCACCTCTAAACTCTTTATTAACTTCATATATATATATATATATATACTCCTATGATAAGTCCGTGTGTGATCAGATTGTTCGAAATGTGTTGTGCGCGCAAATACATTACACAATTCAGACAAATTACGTCTTCTTATTGCTTTATCTACATTCATAAAGGGAACTAATTGTTTTAAATATTTCATTTATCCCACATATTATACTATTATCAGTAGTATAAGCTGCTTTCAGCAAAGAGTTATTCTTTTTGGCGTTATCATTCTCAAGCTGTACAATCCCATATATACATATGGTAAATCAGCTTAGCAATAAAAGGAATTTTTCCAGGGATGTATCATTAGAATTGTAAATTTCAGATAAGAAATTTCGTTAATTGGTTAAAAACCAAACTAGAATTAAGTAAGAAAGTTGAGTGACGTAATCTAATTGACAAGGTTGAGTAGAGCTTAACTAGAATTAAAATTGAACAGAAGTCAAGTTAACAACAGTGGTAATAAGGAATGGGGGAAGAAAATAGTATAGTTAAGAAACAAACGAACAGAAAAGAAAAATGAAGAAACAAAAATCACATAATTGGTGTTAAGATAGATCATTTCCACTGTAGATTTAATGACGGAACAAACTTCTTTTGTATGCAGAGTTCAGATTTCAACATGTGAATTGCTATTGCTTTTACGGTTTGAAGAAGTTTGATACGTACTCTTTTAACAAACTTTACACGTATTCTGTAGATTCTTTTGAAGTTACTTTGTAGATTTACTTGGTGTCCAGATTCTATCAAGTATTTCAGAATAGAACTTTGGGAGGACCTTCTTTCTCCTTTGTAAAACCATGACCTAGAGTAAGTGTTCGATGATACGTTTGGATAGCAAACACTAGTTCCACACGAGCAGGTGAATTAGTAGATGCACACTAATGAGGTCGACAATGGTAGCTTATCCTTCACGTTCATGAGAATCATCAGTTTCATAGAGAAGGTTAATTGGAGTTCAGCCGCAAAGAAGGCGTTCTACAGTGAGTGGGACAGGCGGTTTCCCAATATTGCTGAGGATGAGTCTCCATTGAATTGTAGACTGAGGTAGAGGAGTTCATGATGGTCTAGGTTTCATGGATTTTGCGATAAAATGTTCTGAATAACCTTTGTCGAGGAGGATTCTCTTCAGAGTGTTTAGCTCTTCTTTCATAGTATCAGGGCTGTAAATGCTGCGGATTGTATGTCTCATTGAGTGGATATGTATTAATAGTAGTACTTTACTTAGTGACAATTGTCTGACTATTATGAGTTGGTGGTGCAGTGATAGAATGCTCTCTAACCGCCCACGTGGTTCATGGTCCAAACCCTGGCTAACACACTCTTAAATCTCGATTAGCTGACAGCAAGACCAGTGGAGAGGAGAGGCTGGGCGTGAAATTGTAGCAACCCCACTTCTTAAAATTAAACACTACTGAAACTGTGCGTCGGTGGCACAGTGGTTAGGACTCTCGCCGACCATGCACATGGTCCGAGGTTCGAGCCCTCACCGACGCACATCTGATATCTATGGTTGGCCTGCAAAATTTGGGCTACCGATATCCACGCTGAAAATTCCATACTTGTACCAAAAATACGGTGTGGAATCAAGCTGTAATCAAAAATAAAATTAAAAAAAATAAATAAAAAAAACTTGAATCCCCATATTCCACTGGGATTGCAAAGGAATAAAATAAATATAATGGTAATCTGACTATCACTGATTTGACTACTGAATATTTATTTAGACTTCTGCTTACACTAATACTTATGTTGGACAGTATTAGGCATGTTGTTAAGCCATATTCAAATCCTTGAAGATTATAACTGAACACGGTAACCAGAATGTATCTGATTTGTCAAGCATTACAGTCTTGTATTTAGGTAAACATAATTTATACATTATACATAATTAATCATATTCACCCACCATCAAATCGAATATCTTTCTTCGGTTATCGCTAATTCGCTTTTTATCTCTCATGTACACGAAAATGAGATAAATAAAATATATGCAATAAAAAAGAAATTCGGAAAAAACACCACAGAACAGCAAAAGTTTTTACCGTTACATGATTGTGATTCATGAGGGAATACTTAGTTAATAACTTGTTAGCCAAAGATATATGCGTATACTAAGAAAAGAAGAGAAAGGAAGGAGTAAAACTGAAAAAATAAAAGCCCTTCAAGACGGTAAACAAAAATACAATTAGGAGTACTTCTGACCATCCTTTTACAATCGATAAAATAAAACCATTCTGTTGACTGGAAGAGGTATGTTACTGAGCTATTCAAATGAAGAATCATTCCTGAGTAAGAAATTGGACATATTCGCTATAGTTTTTTTTGAAAAAGAACACAAGTTGTTAGTCTTTGTCAATTGTTTTAATTTCGTGTAGGGGAATATATATATTTCCAGTTACCGGCTATTATTAGCACTTCTAATAAATCAACCTTATTCATCTCTGTGTGAAGCTGTTTTCAGAGGTCATTAATTCAAACGTATACGCATAGAAATCAGTTAAATTTAAAAGCAACAGAGAAGTCGTGGAGCTGTGTACATATATGCAAACAGAACATCTATACTGTTCCACAATGATTTCTTGCATTGATTAAATCTAAGATATAATTATAGGGGACAAAGTGAAGACAGTGAAGATCGTACATTTCACCAGTAAAGAGAAACTTGGGTCGCTTGATCGTAAATTACAATATATTCAGAATCATAAGCTGGAAACTTCATGATACAGCAAGCCACACATCACAACTGTGATTATTATTATTTTTATGGATTGAACTGAAATTCGTACCAGTGGTTATATAAAAGGTTTTTGATGTCTTCAGATCAGCAATACGATTGGGCCTGTGTTTCACCTCCAGATCGAATTCTGTTGTAATCTACGTACAAAGATTTGTTCAAATATAGACTTTTAACCCATGTATAACGATTCATTAGATATTAATACCTCAATGAAAACTCTTTTATAGGTTTTGTCATAAAATTGCCTCACATCGTAAAATTGCCCAAATCTTTGTAAAATTTTTCTCTATGGATTAGAGAATTTATCTGTAATCTGACTAATTTTTATTCTCTTCATTGGCATTTGACTTTCTTTCTTATTTTTACTTCAGCGTAAAGACAGCGTTTTACAGAAAACTTCGGAAATCAAAACTCAGAAGTCTTTAACTCAGTCTTCATCTTTATCAACCCCACTTCAGTCCGAAAAATCAATCAAATCCTTAGTCAGAGATCAATCTGACTCACAAGGTGAAGAAACTTCAGATTCCCCTCATCATTCTCAAAATCTTAACGAAAAAGTACATCCTTTAGCTGTAGGAATGATTACTGGACATAATGGTTTACATTCAGTTTCATGTTTGAGTTTAGCAGCACGTGGTAGAAGTACACTAAGTTTAGCAAACATATGTGTAAATGATCGAGATGCTTCAGATTTTGATAAGGCAAGTGATGATGAACAAACTGAACTGCATTCAATCCATCAATATCCATGCATTAATTCACTACATCGATCAAGAATTCTAGCTTCAGTTAGTGCTCGAGCTTCTGATGCAGATGTTACAGATGATGATCATCATTCTGTATGTAGTCAACGTAGTAGTACTGCACGTTCGGTGTCAGCTGTTTGTCGTCATGGTCACAAGCAGCATCATCATCACCATCATCATCATCATTATAATCGTCAAAATCGTGCACGTTGCCTGTCAGCAATTGATCCTTATTTGATGTCTAATCATAATGTAAATGATGCGGATGACCAGAATGCTGCTGATAAAGGAACAGATGTTTGCAAAACAGAAATACCAACAAATCTTCGAGGTACAACTACAAAATCACATTCTTTTCGTCGACTTGTAAGTTAACTTGTTACTATTTATTTTTAAATCTTTTATATTTAACTGTTTACTAACTTTTAAAGTTTTGTATAAATTCCTTTTTAGCAAGTCTGAAAACATTTATTAGTAAATCATAAAAGTGTATGTTTTCTCAACTGCGTGAGTGTTCAGACAAGACTGATTGTCGGAATCTCAAATATAAAATATCCATCAACTACTAAATGACATCAGGGATATAACACCATCTGGCTATCTAAATCCCAACAATCCAAATAATGGATGAAGGAAATCCAGTCAGCACTGTAATGACGAACAGTCAGGTTACTTGATTTCAAGTATTTTTTATTTTTTATTCCCTTACGTTCCCAGTGGAACATTGGGCTTCAAGCTAGAGCTTTGAAGTTTCGATAGCAGTGATGTTTATTCTTAAGGGATGGGGTTGCTAGTCTCAACCCCAACCTTCTCTCTTCACTAGTCTTATTACTGGCTTAGTGGGGTAAAGAAGTGTATCGGTCGAACCCCGGACCAAATGCGTATAATTCACACCAGCAGGGTGCAGCGGGTCAGGTGTGAGGACAAATACTCGCCGAAGACATTGGCTAGGGTTCGCGCTATGTCATGAATTGGCAGAAGTTGGAATTCATGGACCATTGGATCGGGTCCCAGTGGCCTAATGGTATACGAGCTCGCTTTGTAACTGGATGGTCCTGGGTTCGAACCCCGGTGGGTGCGTACTGTTGAAGAGTCGCAAACTAGGCTGGCGAAACAGCTGTGCAGTACTCTCAGGTGGTTTCCCAATGGTTCTCTAACCATTGTCAGCTCATGATGAAATCCTGTAACCAATTTTTCCTATTCCTTTGCGTTCCAAAAGGGAAATAGGGTCTCAAGTTTAGGTCTTCAAGTTTCGGTAGCAGTGATGTTTTTTCCCTGAATTTTTTTGCTAGCCACACACCCGACCTTCACTGTTAACTGGCCTTACTATCAGCCAGGTGACGTTTTGGAGTGGGTCGACCGGTGACCAAACCCCGGGTCAGGTGGTTGGTTAGTGAGTCCTCCTCTACTGAAGCACGAAACGATTAAAATACAACTCAAATCAATAAGATAAGATTAACTACCGAATAACTTCGAAATTAATTCGCTACCAAAATAAGATAAAATAATTTGATTAGTGCTATAAGTATGCCTTCAAAACTTAAATATTTAAAGAAACATTGGCAAAACTTATTTTGTGATCAAGATAAGCTTACTGATTTCGTAAAGCTTACTCATTTTATGAAGTCATAAATGACATTTGCTCATCATTGTGTTTACCAACCAATATACAATTATCTGTTGAATCATCTACAATGAACACATACGGTTAAAAATAATCAGATTTATGACAAATTTTGACTCAAATAACTAGATGTTTTCCTGATAGAAAAGGTTTTTAACTTGAAATAGCTAAATTATGTACATATCCCACAATCTTCCAGTGTGTTTAATATCATTATCGGAGTGACTGATTCCTGCATAGGCTTAGTTTCTAACGTCAAGGTCCGGTGTTCGATACCTAGTGAACTCGTTTGTGCTAACTGCTTCAGAGTCCCAAACGAAGACAAAAAAGCTGTTCAATAGTGCCTGGATTTTCTGCACCAGTGGTTCGGTGGTAGAATGCTAGCCTACCAAGCATGTGACGCAGGTTTGATTACCGACCGATCCACTCCTAAACAACACCTAGTTTAACAGCCTGGAAAAAGAGAAAGGTCAGCTATTAGGCTACGAACACCATACCCACTAAAATTTTGGAGCTTGAGGTTCCTTGTGTCCTACTCAGAAGAAAAATGATGAAGAAAGGAAGAACTTAAAACCATTAAGTCAGTAGGTATAAGTAATTTGTCATTTCGATAAAGAAAGGAAGACGAAATTTGCAGTAAAAAATGATATCATTCTATTCCACAGGCTCTCATCAGCTGCAGACTACCTGAAATTACAATGGTTTTATAGATGATAATAACATACTTTAGTGTTTGAGTGGTGGTAATTGTAATTTCAGGTAGTCTGCAGATGATGAGAACCTGTGAAATAGAATGATATCATTTTTTACTGCAAATTTCGTCTTCCTTTCTTTATCGAAATTTATCAAGGGAACCAAATGTATGAATTTGTCATCTGTTAGTCAAGTCATTCATTTCCTTGGCTTTGTATTTCGTAAGATTATTTTTCCAGTGAAATGCATCTCATTCAAATGTACCTTACTGGGTTTCTTTTTTTATTGTCATTCTGCACTGTAATTTTTACATTCTACATCTTATTTTTGCAAATCTCTTCTTTCTAATAAATCACCTTCTCTAACTCTGTACGATAATATCCAATTGAACAAGCTACATAAAATGCTTGATATCAGTGCTTATCGAAATACTTCAGTGAGTAGACACGCGATGTTAAGTTAGAGTGGATAGCACAACAAAAAATATATGAGACAAGTTATTATTGATTTCTTTATACTTCTGTCTTTGTATCTTTTTTCCTAAAGATAAGTGAATTGTAAATTACCCCATTGAATAATATGTTTTTCTCAGTGATTTGTTCTTTTTTGTTACTGAATGAATAATATTAACAATTAACGTTTTATATTTATGGTAATTACTATTTCGTTGTTAGCATTTGAAAATATCAAGTAGAAGTAATTATTCCTGTTATTAATTAAATCTGAATGGCACATAAAAACGTATAGTTCTATTTTGTATTCTGACTGTTAAATTCAAACACTATTTTTATGTGTTAGTTTGAAGGGATTCGACTGGTTTCAGAGCGGGCCGCGAAATGACTACGGGTAGAGGACCGCTGAAAGCTGGGAGGTACTGGACAGCTCACTAGTGACTGGCTTCAGGATGAAGTCACCTGAAGTTCTTTTGGGGAGTCATGACCGGTAGGGTCCACCAGTTTGTGTGTGGAGCCGAACACTAGTCGGTAATATTGGCTAGTGGTCACCCTATATGTAACGAACTGGCAGAAGTTATGATTAATGGACCAGGGGCTCAATAATCAACAAGCCTGCCCTATAACCTGGGGATTTTGGTTTGCTTCCTAATAGGGTCTTGAGTGAGTGATACTGAAGGGTTCCAGAGAAGCGCCAAACACCTGTCCACCACTATCTGGTTTCCGATGGTCCTCTAAGTGAAGTCAACTCATTATCAGTCTTAAAATAACATTGTCTGTCATGATTTTCCCTCAAATTCTTGCAGTATTTATGTATCAGATATTTACTGTTTTCCCAGTCTGACCTTAATTTAAAGTTTTCATTCAGTTCCGCATTGCAGTATAGCCATGGAAGTAAGGAATTATACCTCTGAGCAGTTGGCCTGAGTACGTGGAGCTTTTTTCGAAACATATTCCACTGTGTGGTGCTGATGAAGAGTCCTAAACTAGGATGAAACAGCCGTCTGTCTGGTACTCCCAGGTTTTCCAGTGGTCCTCTAACTGATTTCACCTCATGATGAAATCCTCCATACATATGAAATAGTTTAGCAAAATGTTAGTAGATTATTACGAAAGATTTTTTTTTAAAGAACATATCATCAAAAGGATTTTTACAAATAGAAAATATATCTGCATAATAGGGCAATGAAAGCTTCTCAAATAAACCATCCAGCTCAGAGAACACATCCACTTCAAAATCATTCAACCGAACTGTAAAACTTCTCCATCAAATCGAAAAGATATCTGTTATTATAACTGACAGTATGCTCAATACAGAATTATATATGTAGTTTTCCTAGTTCACTAGTCAGATACCGATATTTTTTTGCCTACTAATTGTGTTTACTTAAGAGGAAATCAGTCTAATGAGTAGACTACAATTTTAAAAATAAACGTATTAATAAAAACAAAGTTTATAGTTGTAAACTGTTTTTCAAAATATTACTCACTAACATGTTCCGGTTTCCTGCTTAAAAGCTTAAAAGTAAATTATATATACACAGACTAAATAAAGGTTTATGAGCAATGTTTTTTCTAACTGAATTACTTGAATTACAATAGGCTGTATTTTGAAATGATCAATTTAAAAATTTTAGATTGACGCTTAAACTAAGATACGAATATATGTACTTATTAAAACGGCTTCATTGATTGTTGTTGCCCCTTTTTGATTTCTTGTTTTCCCAATGGAATGTAGGGCTTCAAGCTTTAGGGTTTCAGTAGCGATGGTCTTGATTTTCACAACGCGGGTTGGTTAGCCTTATGCCCTGAAACTTCCCTCTTTTTGCGGGCTTACTGTGCGCGAGTAAAGTAGGCTAGATTTTAAGACAGTCGAGTGGTTCATAAAGTAGTAGTTCGTAAAGCATCATTTTTCGTGCCACATACATTATTTAGAATTCAGCCAAATAATTGGTATGCTGTTATGATTTTGAATTAGAAAAATGTTTATTTTCTGGTTTCTGTCTACTCTGTAATCATATGTGTAGTAATTACTATTTTTATCCTTCTTCTCAATAATGACGTAATCCAACTCGAGTTATCCATAGGATTGATGTGTCAGCTACATATTTTTGAGTCCTTTCTCCTTTTCTTAACGTTTTGGAGATTTCACTATTGATTATCACTGTCATGCAGATTGATGCTGATGGTAGAAGACGACGTCTTGGTGAAGGAATGTTTATAGGCAATTTAGTATCCCTATACGGCCAAATTATGTACACCTTATCTTCAAATCATCATTCGCACAGATCTTCCATTTTGTTAATTGTGGCATTCATATTGTGTTTTCTTATGTTTCTCTCACGTCTCCCATGAATCCCTGCAACGCTGGTTCATTTGCGTTCACTAACATCAAATCTATCTTCCTGTCACTGGATATTTTTATACTGATAAACATCTTTTATATGTCTATAATACCCATAAATTTTATCAGTAGCACATGCCACAATACCATTGACCTCAAGGAAATTTAGATATTTGTAAATAATATTTGGATGTTTTAACTATGCTGTGATGTTCAAAAATGTCAGTAGACAAGTTTCAAGAATCTTCCGTTT